TGAAGCTGAAATAGGTTTACTCTTCTTAGCAGTCAAACTTCTTCTGTGATTTCCTCCAAGCTTCTGAAATCCATCAACCTGTAATGTCTACAGAATGTGTCAACCGAAGATAAATGTATTAATAACGCCAGGTTTTAAGTTTCTTTCCATAAAACAGTCACATATATGCATGACACACAACAGCGCTGCTAATAATCGGTAGGAAAATTGTCTGCATGTGGGGGGGGGGGGACGTAAGCATAAATCACTCCTGATGTGTGACCCCTGAAACAGAAATATGATTTGATCCTGTGTGAACCCCACAGCTGTCTGCCATTATACATGCATCTGCCTGTGTGTGTGTGTGTGTGTGTGTGTGTGTGTGTGGGTGAGACAGTGTGTGCGTGTAAACAGACTTTCCCATTTGTCTGAAAGTTATCTCTCTAGTATGCTCATTTGTTTTTTACGTACTATGTATTTGAATATATGTACTTCTTTCTGAGACATACACACACTGAGATACACACACACACACCTGTCTTGTCACTCATGCCCTCCTCTCCAACCCTCGCTGCCCAAACAAGAGGCCTCATTTCCCAGGGAAGAACTCTGCAGGCCACACACACACACACACACACACACACACACACACACACACACACACACACACACACACACACACACACACACACACACACACACACACACACACACACACACACACACACACACACACACACACACACACACACACACACACACACACACACACACACACACACACACACACACACACACACACAGCCCCCTTCAGACCGCACAAAGCCCCCATTGTGAGGCACAATGCTGGCCGCCCCCCTGTACCCTCTGCTCTGTTTCCCCCATAACTCCGTCCCGTTCTGCCCCCACATTTTTCTGTTTTTCTTTCCCCTCTACTCTCTCTTTTTTATTCTTAAATCTCAACCCTGTCTGTAGAGGTCTGCCCTCTTTCAACCCCCTTCTTCCCCCTTCAATATTGAGATTTGTCTCCCCCCTTCCTCTCGTCTCAGACATTTTTCCACTTCTCTGACTGCTGGGTTACCCCCAAATTCCCCTTCTTGCTCTGCTGGATAACAGATATTTCAAATCTAAAGACAGATTTATGAATGTTACTGGCAAATAAATACAGAATGTAACTCTTCCCGCAGGACCGTTATTTGAGGATATGTTTTGAACAAAAATCTGGTACTTTTTCCAATAAAAAAGATCCTCACTTCTGTATGAAGCACTTTTTAGAAGCTAATTGAGAAGCATTTGAAGTGGCTTCTAGGTTATAAAAAGCTAATGCACTTTAAGGATTTCTGCTGTTTTGAGTCGGCGTTGATTGCACCGATAGTTAGCCACTCTGGAAATCCAATCACAATGTGTGCATTTACATTTGCCATTTCATTTATCCAGATAAAGACAGTTCATCAGAGTCCCATTCCACATATTTCTCCTACAGCTTGTTAGTGAATACAATGAGTTGAATTGAGACATTATTGAACGTGTTTTGCCAACAGTGCCATCGCCAAATCTACAGAGTTGCAATCTACAGAAATCCCAGTATCTCTTTGCCAAGCTGCAAACTAAATTCAGTCAATAAGTATTGCTTTGCCTGCTGGAAAAGAATACACACATGCATAATGTCTGATAACATACAGTGTTTTGTGGTATGTGCAGAAGTATCCGTGGCATTCACTGCAGGTACTAATGACCCTGTTAAGGTTTCATGAGTTAGCTCTGCTGCAGAAACACAGTACAGCGCCACCTGAGAGTCTAATCTGTCAGAAGAAGAAAAAAGAAGAAGTGAAAAACACATATAGACGCAGGGAATCTGCAGGAAACAAAGTGGTTAAGCGAAGAGGTGAAATGTGAGAGTGTTGTCAGTGAAACAGAGGCCTAACCATGGCAACCCTGGCTGTATCTGACGTGGAGGCGTGATGAGAAGGTGGACATTCCTCACACTCGTCCTCCTGTGTTTCCCGATCAAAAGAGGAAAGGCAAACTGAGCCACAGCAAAGCTTCCAGCAGAGCAGCGGTTTGTATTTTTCATGTTAAGTGAAAGGCGACCGCGATGCAATTCAATGATGTGGGGAATTTTCCTCTTCAGCCTCTTCCAAGCCAGAACATTGTGGCTGAAAGAAAGATAAAGAGAGCGAGAGAGAGAGAGAGAGAGAGGAAAGGGAAGACTGAGCAAACTAAAGCTAAGGCCAGCTGCTCTACTCACTGAGAGAGAAAGAAAGCAATTATAAAACTGTAGGAGATCTAAAGGAGTTAGCAAAAGCTTTGGGTAGCTTTCTCTCTCCCTGAACAGGCCATTAACCACGCTAAACAGACTGAAGGAGATCCAGTCATTAACACACACAAAAGTCCCTCATGGTGCAGGTATTTTTGTACACCAATCGGAAGTTAGCATTGCATCGGTTCCATTGACTAAAAGCCAATGGGATTGTTCCATTGAATTTTTAAATATTGCACACAGAAAAAAGGCTCTGTGGAAATTGGTTATGACTCTTTATAGGCCGGCCAAGAGTTAGCATCTCCCCGGTTCCATTGACAATTGGTTTTTCCATTGGTTTCAGACAACTTAAAAAGGAACTACAGCACGGTCACATGACTTCAGGTCACCATCGCTAAGCAAAAGGGGGCTAATGTTGGGCTGTAAAGGAACTACAGCACGGTCACATGACTTCACGTCACCAGCGCTAAGCTAAAGGTGGCTAATGTTGGGCTATAAAGGAACTACAGCACGGTCACATGACTTCACGTCACCACCGCTAAGCTAAAGGTGGCTAATGTTGGGCTGTAAAGGAACTACAGCACGGTCACATGACTTCATGTCACCACCGCTAAGCAAAAGGGGGCTAATGTTGGGCTATAAAGGAACTACAGCACGGTCACATGACTTCACGTCACCACCGCTAAGCTAAAGGAGGCTAATGTTGGGCTATAAAGGAACTACAGCACGGTCACATGACTTCACGTCACCACCGCTAAGCTAAAGGAGGCTAATGTTGGGCTATAAAGGAACTACAGCACGGTCACATGACTTCACGTCACCAACGCTAAGCTAAAGGTGGCTAATGTTGGGCTGTACAACGTTTAGTGCTCTCATTCAGACAATTGATAGCAACCTCCGTATTTAAATCCACCAGTGAGGTATTTGCTGACGTATTTTACTTCGTAGAACATAACGTTAAAATCTCTTGCGTTAACCACAGACCTTATTTCAGACTAACAACCAAAAACACTTTCAAAACATCAGACGAGGAAACAGGAGGTGCTAAAATGATGTCTCATTTACAAGCTTTAGGACTCATTCCAGCACCACTCTATAACACTCTCATTGCTGTCGCCTTAAACACTGCCACTCACAAAGTGACACCTCTATCTGAGTTCACAGGGGGAAGGTTATTTTGGTCGCACACACACATTCAAACGTAGGTATCCATGGTGAAGTACGGGGTAAATGTGCCGCTCGGACGACTGTGACAGCGCGACAGTGACTCAGCGTGAAGAATTTAGCACAGCGTGGTTTGGAAAGCCGGGAAAGAGATGACCTCATTCCACCGGCTGCTCTGTCCACAGGAATGAACACCGGCGACGGGGAAAAGAGGGTCAGGGAGAAGAATGGAGGCACAAGAGAGGCGTCCCATTTCCAGACAAACATGTCGCATAGAGACAAAAGGATGGGAGGGGTGAGGATTCTTTGGGAGGTCGAAGCAAAGGTATATTGGTTTGATAAGCACAACAAAACAGGAGGAGATTTTGGGCTCATATCTTCCCATGAGACACAATTTAAGCTTCAAAATCGATGTAGTATTATCACTTTTTCCACTAAAATGAGCTCTGTTGGTGGCGTCCCATTTCCAGACAAACATGTCGCATAGAGATAAAAGGATGGGAGGGGTGAGGGATTCTTTGTGTGTTCAAAGTAAAAGGTATAATTGTTTGATAAGCACAAAACACCGCTACATACGTTATTGCTTCAAACCAGCAACACCACAATGAAGAGAGATTTAATTGCAAGCACAACTTCTCTGGCAACTTTCTACTCTTCTAGAACAACTTTAAACGTTTCCCCCTACAGCGTTCTACTCTTGTCTTACAACTTTCTACTCTTCTCCAACAACTTAATACTTCTATACGTTTCTACTCTTTGTCCTACTCGCCATGAACGGTTGTTCCTCAAGTAAATCCTGTCCCAGCCTACGATGTAAGTCTTTCTGTGCCGGATTATCAAATAGTTGGTACCCGAGTTGAACCAGTTTTCGGGGGAACAGTGCCAGCGCCTCTGCAGTTGAAACCTTACATTTTTTTTTTAAATCAGGCGCTGTTTCTAGCTCCAACTCCTAAGCAGCCATTGAACTGCCTTGGTGGAAAAGCAATATATGTGACATGTGGCCTTGCTCAGCTTCAGTCTAAGTCTCAGCTGTGTGGAGGAAAACAGCCTGAGAAGATGTAACGACAGATAGCCTTCAGCACATCGGTCAAAAACACAAACCAGACAATCAGGGACACATCACAACTGTAAAATACAAAAACACCAAGGGAAACATTGCTTTTTATAGAACCAAGTGCTTCAGATGTGAAACAAAAGGGAGGAACTGAAGCAGTGACAGTGATGGCACACAGCAGGGAGGCTGTTCAAACACTGATATACTGATGAAGGTTCTGCTTATCACAGCAGTTCTTCTACATCAGAGACACAAAAACAATCAGTCAGAACCAAAGTGGGTCACAGTCCTGTTTCTTGTGGGTCTTTTCACGTTGTTCACATCTTGATAAAGCACACACAGAGGTAGTGCTAGCTTCAAAACAAGTCCGTATTTCAGGATAACAACCAAAAACACATTCAAAACACCATTCACTTCCAGATCAGGGAACAGGAAGTGCTACAAAGCCGACTCATTCCAGGGTTTTAGGACTCATTCTTGAACCACTAAACCAAGATCAATAATACCAATGATCAATTAGATGAATAAAACGCTGTGTCGTACCTTGAAGCATGCAGCGGTACGCCGACTCAGAGATGGCGTAGATGTGCGGCGGCATCTCGTGCCTCTTCTTCCCTCGGTACATCTCGATGATGTTCTCTGAATAGATGGGAAGGTTCTTGTACGGGTTGATGACCACACAGAACAGGCCGGAGTACGTCTGTAATCAAACACACACAACAGATTAGTACGGGGAATTAATAACCAGTAACATAGGCTAAGTTTAAAAGTTAAAAAGGCAATTCAAGTTCATTGTAATTGCAATTTTCTTGATATTTGTTTGCAGTAAGAAACCAAAGAGTGGCTGCATCACGAATGCTATATATTAAGTAAATATTAAAACATGTGAGCTGGCTTTTTGTCAACTTGAAACAGGCTGAATAAACTCTCCATATCAGGAATTGGTGGTAGATAATATAAAGAGTAAATGTTCTAGATGTTATATCATTAAGCCTGTGTTCTGTCAGTGCAGTCAGACCTGTCACTGCACACTTTGTAGGAGCTTACATCATTATTGCAGGCATGCAACAACACAGTGACAGACGCAGAGCAGGCTAATAGAGTCAGACCGACTGAATACAACAGACTCCTGTCTCCTGTGCCAACACAGTCTCACGGCATTTCGTGTTATAGTCACGAAATTAATCTATTGATTCGTGTTCACCAACACGATTTCGCCATTTTTTTCGTGTCACACAGAACGATTTTAAAAGCAATGTAAATAATAACAAATTAGAAGGAAAAAGACATTTAAAAAAATACAGATTTCAGTATTCTGACACAGAACGATTTTAGAAGCAATGTATTTCTATTGGTAGTATGTTTCGTGCCTGCACCAAATAATAACAAATTAGGAGGAAAAAAAGATGACATAAAATACAGATGTCAGTATTCTGAGGCTCTGAGACATTTCTTTTCCTCACTGACGGCAAAAAACCTCAGACATTATACAATTTAAAATAAAAGGGATAGGGTTAGGCTTAGGGTAAGATATTGAGTAAGAACATGTTTTTATGAACCACAAAGCTTCTGGTCTTCCAAGACCCGACCGGACAAAAAGACGTGGTGCAGGCACGAAACATACTACCAATAGAAATACATTGCTTTTAAAATCGTTCTGTGTGACACGAAAAAAATGTGAAAATTGTGTTGGTGAACACGAATCAATAGATTAAATTAATTTCGTGACTAATAACACGAAATGCCGTGAGACTGGGTTGCCTGTGCAGGAACAGATAACAAAAAGAGGGTCCAAATCAATTACCGCACTACAATAAAGACTCAAATAGTGTATGAATATTTTAAAAACGCATGCTTTTGCTTCAAACTGATAGCCTACTCTCTGACTTGGTGGTGTTGCATTTGTCGGTGTCATTAGCCGGATGATTTCTCCCCAGATACTGTGAGTGGTATGAAGGAGGCGAGGAGTGAGTGAGAGGCCTTGATAGGGTAATGGCTATGTCTCATTCTGCAGGTGCTATGGAGGCTTCACATCCCCCCCCATGCAGGGCTGTAGTATTTTTGTAGGCCGACCCAGTAGTAAGCATCTCCCTGGTTCCCTCGACAAAATGCTAAGTAGTTAGCAATAGCTTTGGACTGCTTTGCTCTCCCTAAAAAAGGACATTAGCCACTTTAAACAGACTGGAAATGATTCAGTTAAAACACACAGACCCTCATAGTGGTGTGCAGAGATGATGTATTTCTTTATGCCGATCCGGAAGTTAGCATCGCAAGGGCTATCTCAACAAAAAGCCAATGGGATTTTGGAATACTGCTGAAAATTATCCCTGTAGCAAACCAACGTTTATCATACTTACACGTTTATTAATTGCTAAAATGCTAACTCATTGCCTGGTGTAGGACAGCACTTGAAACTGTTTAAAACAGAGGCTCAGTCTGTAGAGAACATTTGCTTTTTATGATCTCCAAAGTGCCATGCTGGCAGTCGCGAACATAATTCAAACTTCATACAAAAAATAATTCACATCATGCTTCTAATTTTCCTTTTTCCAGATCATTTAGATTCCAGTGAAAGTGTTCCTGGTAAAATAACGTCACTGGAGAGTGTGTGTGTGTGGTCCCAGAAGGAGACTGAACAAACAAATATGTCTGCCCCTCTTTTTGACCTTGAAAGCAGCACGGAGCCTCCGGTCAGCTTCGTAACATCCATCAAGCATGTGTGACTTCACTGGAGGGCAATTACACATGTACTGCTAATTGACCTAATGACATGGTGCTAGCTAGACATTACTGCAGCACTGTTATGACTCTCTTTCACTTATAAAGTATACACATGCATGAAACTGTAGGTTTTTTTTTCAGTGGGGTTGAATGAGGTACTTATGCATAGTCAGTGTACTACACATATCTCTGACTACACAACTACATACATATCCATATACATTGCAAACTAACTGAACAGAGACCTTGAAGAGATAGTTTGGCTGTTTTCAGTGCATAGCCTACAGTAGTGAGGGGTGACGTATTTTTGTAGGCCGACTTCACGTCACCACCGCTAAGCTAAAGGTGGCTAATGTTGGGCTATAAAGGAACTACAGCACGGTCAGATGACTTCACGTCACCACCGCTAAGCTAAAGGTGGCTAATGTTGGGCTATAAAGGAACTACAGCACGGTCAGATGACTTCACGTCACCACCGCTAAGCTAAAGGTGGCTAATGTTGGGCTATAAAGGAACTACAGCATGGTCAGATGACTTCACGTCACCACCGCTAAGATAAAGGAGGCTAATGTTGGCCGTGATGGCGTTTAGTCGTCTCATTTAGACTCTTGTAGCAACGTCTGTTTTTAAGACACATAAGGGTATAAGACAACGAGGGAGACAAGGAAACCGCAAGTGGTAAAATGCTGACTAATTTCCAGGTTTCAGGACTCATTCCTGCACCACTCTTCTATAACAGTCGGACACCTAAAAAAGGATTGTCACCTAAGTGTATGCTCCATTTAGTATATTTCCATTACTTTACCTTGCTATAAGGAAGGTAGGAACAAATATTAAAAAACAATTGTTAAGGGAGGCCTTGTGATGCAACACAGTCTCACGGCATTTCGTGTAATAGTCACGAAATTAATCGATTGATTCGTGTTCACCAACACGATTTCGCCATTTTTTTCGTGTCACACAGAACGATTTTAAAAGCAATGTAAATAATAACAAATTAGAAGGAAAAACAGATTTAAAAAAAAATACAGATTTCAGTATTCTGACACAGAACGATTTTAGAAGCAATGTATTTCTATTGGTAGTATGTTTCGTGCCTGCACCAAATAATAACAAATTAGAAGGAAAAAGAGATGACATAAAATACAGATGTCAGTATTCTGAGGCTCTGAGCCATTTCTTTTCCTCACTGACGGCAAAAAAACTCTGACATTATACAATTTAAAATAAAAGGGATAATGTTAGGCTTAGGGTAAGATATTGAGTAAGAACATGTTTTTATGAACCACACAGCTTCTGGTCTTCCAAGACCCGACTGGACAAAAAGACGTGTTGCAGGCACGAAACATACTACCAATAGAAATACATTGCTTTTAAAATCGTTCTGTGTGACACGAAAAAAAGGTGAAAATCGTGTTGGTGAACACGAATCAATAGATTAAATTAATTTCGTGACTAATAACACGAAATGGCGTGAGACTGGGTTGTGTGATGCTAACCACTGCACCACTCTATAAAGGGCATCTCATACAGTACAGGACATAACCCAAGATGTATTACTGAGATGTCCTTCAGTGAACTTTCCATATCAGAGCATCAGACTTCATAATTAAAACTGCACACAGTCTGAGAGTGACTCAGCAGCTATAGATTCACAAAGGGGCTCCAGAGAGCGCAGTAACAGTTACATAACAGCACAGGTAGCTGAGCAACTGATGCTCTGTGCAGCTGATACAGGGACGAGGAGGTGAGGAAGAGGAGGGAGGCAGACTGAAATAAAGAGTGGAGAAATGATCCAGCTGACGGAGCTCCCTCTGGTCCAATATAGAGGAGAAGCAGAGGAGCAACTAACAGCGAGAAGGCCTGCAGAAACAACTCTCCTTTTTCAAAGCTAATGAAAAATTAACTCCCCTCTTTGCAGGAAACTGGAGCTGCCATTATACGGGTTGTGTTCTGTTCTCTCTGGTTCTGCAACAGAGTGATATCTGGACTGTAGGTGTAGCTTCAATGCTAAATGTGCATTGTAATTTGCTGCATCGTGTCTCTATATGCATGATGACGATGCATGAACCTGCACTCAATAAGGGTTGGTGCATCAGTGCTGGATTTTCTTTATTTGCATTGTTTATGAAGCATAATGTCTATAAATACACTACAGCTGTTGTATTTTGTATTTTATTAATGTTAATATACTTTCTGTTTGTTGTGTTTCATTGCTGGTTCTCTGTGTGTATTAAATGTTTTCTGTTCTGTTTCATGTGAAATGTTTGAGTGGTGCTATATCAAAGAAGTGTATTATTACTTTATTATTATTATTATATATCATTAAAGGTTAGAGGTCCCTTATGATCTATCTGATCCATACAAATAATGCCTTTTTCAACATGCTTTCTGTTGGACTGCCACTGCCTCCCCTCCTGTCAAAAGCAGCATGAAGTGAATGTTCTGCTCCTGTTGCAGATCAGACGTCCGACTCAACAACTCAACACCGGCTGCCGGGCGAAAGAGAAGGTGATATTTCCACTGAAACCAGATCCAGGGAGACGTGGGAACAGCTGAGCAACAGCAGACACAACAGCCGTCTCCGACCAGAGGCCTCTTTCTGTAGAGGGGTGCAGGAATGAGTCCTAAAACCCGGAAATGAGTCGGCAATGTTCCCTTCCTAAAACTATAAAAATACTAAATACTAAAATAAAAATATTTGATTATAACTAATACATATTTGGTCATTTATAGGATTTTAACCCTTCAGAGGGGCTGCATTCTGCTGATGTTCAGGTGTGTATCAGTATGTAGTGTCTCTACTTTAAAGAGTCCTCTCCTGCTGATGTTCAGGTGTATATCAGTATGTAGTGTCTCTACTTTAAAGAGTCCTCTCCTGCTGATGTTCAGGTGTATATCAGTATGTAGTGTCTCTACTTTAAAGAGTCCTCTCCTGCTGATGTTCAGGTGTATATCAGTATGTAGTGTCTCTACTTTAAAGAGTCCTCTCCTGCTGATGTTCAGGTGTATATCAGTATGTAGTGTCTCTACTTTAAAGAGTCCTCTCCTGCTGATGTTCAGGTGTATATCAGTATGTAGTGTCTCTACTTTAAAGAGTCCTCTCCTGCTGATGTTCAGGTGTATATCAGTATGTAGTGTCTCTACTTTAAAGAGTCCTCTCCTGCTGATGTTCAGGTGTATATCAGTATGTAGTGTCTCTACTTTAAAGAGTCCTCTCCTGCTGATGTTCAGGTGTATATTAGTATTTAGTGTGATGATACATAGTGATGTCACCATGTGTGTGGGAGAGAAGGTTTTTTCAAATATTTTAGCTTTTGCAGACCATTTACATGCACTAACACTAACACTTAAATGTCAGTTTGCTATAAAAAAAGAGGGAAATTGTATTTGTATTCTCAAAAAAGAAGAGACACAAAGTAAATATCATTGATGTACAGGTCTAGGGAAGAGGGGAGGAACAGAGTGGGTGTGTGAAGGGGAGTACATTGTAACCGAAATGTCGTACACGAAGCAGAAGTGGGCGGACAGACGGACAGTTGTACAGACGGACAAAAAGACGGATGGAATATCTTTTTACCACGGAAGAATGCTGAGGCTTTCTGACAGCTGAGGATTATCTGACGACACAAAGGCCTGCCTGTACTGGGGGTTAGCTTAGCATGTAGCCTGTCAGAATAGCTGCTGCATTAAATGATAATAATAAAAGTGGACTCAACGGGCTGGCTGACTAACATCACATGGAGACAGTTTAGGATTTATGACTAACTTATTGACCAGAGGACTACAAATGCACGGGGGGGGGGGGGGGGGGGGGGCATTAATGTTCCAGCTGCTGGAGTAAAAGTGTCTGATTGCAATCGACAAAAAACCGAGACAGAGCGAGTCTACTAACCATTGGTGAAAAGAATATATTCATTAGGTCAATTTACCCAGCAGTATATAATAAAATAAAATAAAATAAACCATATTTTCACCAAGCGCAACTCTGAAATGATTATTACATTGAATTATAATACATCATCAATATATCATACAATGGACCATATCTGCATGATAAGTACCTGATAAACCCCCTCTGTAGGGAAACACAGGGATTTTAGCCTTTGCAGACCATTCACATGCACTAAAAACCTGTATAACACACTACAGGAGAGGGTCTGATATATGGATTATATTATGCAGGCACAAGGGAACCAAACCTACAAAAGGTAAAGGTTTCCCGAAGAATTCAAATGCTTTTTCAGACTCTACCAGATGCTGATCACGCTGTAAGATTCAGATGTAGAAGTCAACTAAGAACACAGCCTGGGGAAGAGTTTGTATTATGTCTGAGAGTTGGGGGGTAAGTCAAACACACTGGGAAAGGTTCAGATCTTAGCGGGGTTTCTTTTTCTCTTTTTCTAAGAACGAGCTGAATGGGGAAAGTTCTCCTTCTGACAGAAAACCAACACATTCACACAGATGTTTTCAATTTCTCTAAAGCCAGGGGCAAATTAAGAAGCTCCAAAACCAATACTGAACCACGAAGAAGAAGAAGAATGATGACACTATGGTATGAGAAAAAGAGCGACGACGAAGAAGAAGAAGGAAGAGGACTGCGTGTAAATTCAAGGCTTATAGGAGATTGATAATATCACCTTCTACTTTATGCAAGGGTTATATTGGGTTGGGGTCCCGACATATGGGGCTTTTAAAGCATCAAAACAGGCTGTGAGTGGTGAAGTTTTACCACATTTTCCCCCTGCAGTCCCTCAACCGGAGGTCTCAGGTGATAACCAACCCACTTTCTATTCCTGTCACTAAATGGGTCAAGATCAGAAAAAAAACAACATCTCAGAGAAGCTCCATCTGTAGTGAAACTGGATTATGGGGACAGCGGCAATGCGGTAATACAGACCACTGCAAACGGCTATAGAGAGGTGCAGGAATGAGTCCTAAAAGCCTGGATTTTTAGCATTTAAGCACTTCCTGTCACCTGCTCTGAATGTAAATGGTTTTCTGAAAGTGTTTTGGGTTGTTAGCCAGAAATCAGGTCAGAGGTTAACGCAAGCTGAAGAGATTTTTTTCTACGACATAAAATAAGTCAGTAAATACCCCACTGGTGAATTTAAAAACGGCGAACGCTAACAGGTGTCTAAATGAGACGACTAAACATCATCACTCCCAAGATTAACCACCTTTAGCTTAGCGGTGGTGACGTGAAGTCATGTGACCGTGCTGTAATTCCTTTATAGCCCAATATTAGCCTCCTTTAGCTTAGCGGTGGTGACGTGAAGTCATGTGACCGTGCTGTAGTTCCTTTATAGCCCAACATTAGCCACCTTTAGCTTAGCGGTGGTGACTTTTGTGAAAGGAACCAGGAGGAACCTTTAATTGTATCTGAATTAGCATGTAAATGGCATGATTTCGGGGCTAAAAGACAAGGTCAACATTTCTGTAATCCTACGTTCTGGGACACACATGTGCAGTTTTACACAGTGGGACTACCACAAATAAAAACAGAGAGAGGTCAAGTTATTTCTGCAGAAGCATCGAGGACAAACACACTGAAACCAGTCAAATTTTTTGAAAAAAAAAAGAAAGTCCGGCAACAGTTAAAGGACTGGCAACATCTGTCAAACATACTGTGTGTGTGTGTGTGTGTGTGTGTGTGTGTGTGTGTGTGTGTGTGTGTGTGTGTGTGTGTGTGTGTGTGTGTGTGTGTGTGTGTGTGTGTGTGTGTGTGTGTGTGTGTGCGTGTGCGTGCGTGCGTGTGTGCATGCGTGTGTGTGTGTCTAAAAGTGAAGACCAGTGTGCAGAGAGCAGAAACGCTGCCTGGCATTTTTTTTATTATAACAACTGAGGGTGAAATTCAGTCTACAGCTGTGAGAATCATGGGTTTTTAGATCCAACGAGATACAAATAAGTCAATATCAGTCTGTGTTTTCAGAATATTTATAACGTTTTCCCTTTGCCGTCAAACTCCATTGATAAAACCAGTGATTTTAACTCGCAGAAAACCAATGTTGCTGGTCGACCACTGCCTCAATCCATTCGCTTGTTTTTGTGTTTTTGGACGATTATAAACTAGCCATAACAATACAATCAAAACCCAGAGGATCAACGCAGAGGTAGAGCAGCAATCACGTTTTAAATGAAGTCTGGTTGCTCTGACAAAATGCTAATTTCAAATGATATATAACAACTAGGATTCAATCTACAGCAGTGAGGATTATGAGAGATTAAAGGTTAATCATCACAAAAAGTATCATCCAATATATATTACAAAAAGTTTAAAAAATAAAGTCCTCTCCTATTGATGTTCAGGTTCATATCAGTATGTAGTGTCTCTACTTTAAAGAGTCCTCTCCTGCTGATGTTCAGGTGTATATCAGTATGTAGTGTCTCTACTTTAAAGAGTCCTCTCCTGCTGATGTTCAGGTGTATATCAGTATGTAGTGTCTCTACTTTAAAGAGTCCTCTCCTGCTGATGTTCAGGTGTATATCAGTATGTAGTGTCTCTACTTTAAAGAGTCCTCCTGCTGATGTTCAGGTGTATATCAGTATGTAGTGTCTCTACTTTAAAGAGTCCTCTCCTATTGATGTTCAGGTTCATATCAGTATGTAGTGTCTCTACTTTAAAGAGTCCTCCTGCTGATGTTCAGGTGTATATCAGTATGTAGTGTCTCTACTTTAAAGAGTCCTCTCCTGCTCATGTTCAGGTGTATATCAGTATGTAGTGTCTCTACTTTAAAGAGTCCTCTCCTGCTGATGTTCAGGTGTATATCAGTATGTAGTGTCTCTACTTTAAAGAGTCCTTTCCTGCTGATGTTCAGGTGTATATCAGTATGTAGTGTCTCTACTTTAAAGAGTCCTCTCCTGCTGATGTTCAGGAGTATATCAGTATGTAGTGTCTCTACTTTAAAGAGTCCTCTCCTGCTGATGTTCAGGTGTATATCAGTATGTAGTGTCTCTACTTTAAAGAGTCCTCTCCAGCTGATGTTCAGGTGTATATCAGTATGTAGTCTCTCTACTTTAAAGAGTCCTCTCCTGCTGATGTTCAGGTGTATATCAGTATGTAGTGTCTCTACTTTAACTTCCTTCACTGTTACTGGCCATCTCAACAGTACATAAGGTTTCTGAGTCACTCACGTAAATGAGTCCTGAGTAGTATCTCTCCTTCAGGTTGTTCAGCACTGACGCCTCGTTCAGACAGGTGAGCTCCGCCATGTCCTCCACTTTGCTGAATTTGGGCGGGTTCATCTTCTGGATGTCGTCCTTGTTGACCACGACCTTCTTTCCGTTCTCGGCCAGCTCCAGCTGCACCTCCTCTCCGCGCTCCTCCCTGATGCCGGCGGCCTCGAAGCCATGGCGCTCAGAGGGAATCCAGACCAGCTTCTTGGCCGTCCAGTCTGCCTGCGTGGCCGGGTTGTAGACGACGGCCCGGTCCACAAACAGGTACCGCTCCGGGTCCTCCTGTCCACTCCGTTGAGACATCTTCTTTTACCAGAGCAACGTGGACACCTGAGACAGAAAGAGGAGCGGGGTTCAGTATCATGAGGGCTGCAACTAGGGGTTACTTTCAGGAGCAATTTCTTTAAAGATTATTTTCTAGATTGATTGTTTGGGTTTTAAAACACTTAAACACTTTACATTTCTTCATATTTTTATTTATTTTGGGAATTGTATATTTATTTTTTGATGGTCAAAAACCCAAAGATACTTATTTGAATATAAAACAGACACAAATGACAATTTTCAGATGCAATTTATTTGATTATTATTTTTCTGGATTGATTGTTTTTTGTTTTTTTAAATAAGTTTTATTTTTCCTTTTTTTAATATATATATTAAATTGTATTTTAATCATATCTTCTTATTTTTTCATTTAAATATATTTTATAATATAATATTTTAAATTGTTTTTTTTATGCATATATATATATAATTTGTTCTTATTTATTTGTTTTTACTGCCGTATTGATACTTTTACTTAAGTAAATAATCTGAGTACTTCTTCCACCTCTGAGTAGACTAAGTATAAAGTAGTATAAAATGTAAATACTACAAGTACCTGAACATTGTATTTAAATAGTAAACAGAACTTGAGTAAATGTACTTCATTATTTGGACACCTGGGACAGAAAGAGGAGCTCGGTATCATGAGGGCTGCAACTAGGGGTTACTTTCAGGAGCAATTTCTATAAAGACTATTTTCTAGATTGACCGTTTGGGTTTTAAAACTGAGAAAATATTTAACACCCATTTTTTGTATATTTAAATTTCTGTAAAAACATTTATTTTTATATTTGAAAATACTTTTAATAATTTTGTAATATTCAAATGTATTTTAAACACATCTTCTTATTTTTTCATTTAAATATATTTTATAATAACATTTTATTATCTTTCTTTTTTTGTATATTTATATTATTTTTTCTTATTTGTTTGTTTTTGAGTATTTTTACTGCATAATTTATACTTTGACTTAATCAAATAATCTGATTACTTCTTCCACCTCTGAGTAGAAGTATAAAGAAGTATACAATTGAAATACTAGTACCTGAACATTGTCCTTAAATACAGAACTTGAGTAAATGTACTTCATTATTTCCTCCCTGCTGCTCACTCAATCTGCACAATGCGCATAGTGCGTAGGCTGCACCGCTATCACGACTCATCAAACCCCCTTATATCATAACATCTCGCGGTATTTAAAATAATAACACATATACCCGTCGTTAGGATAATAACCACATATCGTGACAACACAGGTGGAGACTGTGCAATGGCAAGTCCACGATTTAAACAAAATGAATAAACAGAAACGTTAACTTTAGACACATAAATACATTGTTTAGCCACAGAAAAATGTACAAATAGAGCTTACTTAACAGCTAAATAGCTTAACTTATGTTAACTTTTACGAGTTAGGTGGGATATTATGTGGGCCACCTCATATTAAAACGGTGGGTTGTTAACTCACTACGTCACCTAAATAGAGTCAGAATAAAGTTTGTAATAAATATTTTAGTAAAGTGTATTTTCCTCATTTGCCCCGCAGTGAGGCTGTACTCCTGTCCTTGCGGTGGACACAATAATGTAACATTCAAAGGCTTCATTTCCCATGTGCACAATAGCTGCAGTGTAGTTTTTGGCAATGCACATCGTAAATCCAAGGCTTCTCCAACAACGCAACATATAATATCCTTAACATGAACACGAAAAGGAGGTAAAATGGTGCAGGTAAGTTGCAGGAATGGCTCACCTGGTGTAGTCTGCTGTCCTGTTATGTCCCTGTGCAGCTTTCAGCTCCTCTCCTCTGAATGAGATGCATTTAGCGGGGCTTCGGTATGCAGCAGCAGACCTGCCTCCACACTGCCCCCCCCCCCCCCCTCGCTCCCCTAAACCCTGCACCGCGTAAATATGGACGGCCAACCATGCCATAAAGCCGTGCCATCTTCGTACTGTTTCTGTTTCTGATTTTATGTAAAGCGTCTTTGAGCACTAGGATTTATTATTAAAGCCACTATTTTTTACACGTTTTTTAGTCCAACACCCATTTTTTTCTGGCGCTTACGGAAGCCAACAGTGCCATAATCACTATTTTGACACGTTTTTTTGTTAAACACCTGTTTTTTTCACGCGTTTTAAAGAAATCCAACAGTGCTTTAATCATCACTGTTTTGACACGTTTTTTAGTTAAACGTCAGTTTTTTTCACACATTATGCGGTAAGCCAACAGTGCCTTATTCATCACTATTTTGGCACGTTTTTTTGTCTTGGTTTCCCGTGTTTTATGTAGCTACTATTCCAACACATCTTCTATTCAAAGTTATTTTTTTCCTTCGCGTTATAGTTGTTTTAAAATGTCCTTTTTTTTTTTTTTTTTTTTTTTAAATGGTAAAAAACAGTTTTTTCCAGTACAAGAAAGAAGAGTTAAGAGTCAAGCCAGTAAAAAGCAATACATACTTGAAAGACAAAGCCACTATTTCAACTTGTTTTTTGTTAAATCCCAGTTTTTCCTGTGCGTTTTAGCTATTTTAAAAAAACGCTGCCATTTACTTTGTTATTCTTAGAAAACTTTTTTTCCGCTACAAGAAAGACGAGTTAAGAATAAAGTTGTACCAAAGCAATGAATACATGAACAGTTCCTGCCATTGTAAAGGCTGTAGAGACAATTAAATCATGTGTAAACATTTCTAACGAAAGCTCAGTGAAAGCAGGGTTTCCGACAACTACCTGCCGTGGTGCCCTTGAGCAAGTACTGCTGCAAGCTATTGAGGGTTTGGTATACGACTCTTGCTTTTTAAAATATGTGCCCTCAAAGAACAAGCACTTATTGTAGGTTGGTTTGGATTGAAGCGCCAGCTAAATTATATGCATTAACGTAATTATCCGGCATGCAAAACAGATCAATATTGCAACGGTTAATTGCAGGCATTTTAAATAGGTAGTAAGGTGTATTATCGCTGCAGAATATATAATTTTTACCTCATAGTTCTTCACATATAAATATCAAAATACACAAGTACTCACAAAGATCACACAACCCTATTTAAACATGATTATATGGGGTTAAACAGTCAAATGTATATTATCTGTAATGTACTTGCAAGACATAAAACCCGCTCCTTTACATGTCGTTGTTCAATTCTAACCTTGAAACAATTTTAGATTTCTTAATTGATTTTATACGTTTTTAAGTTTATTGATCATGTCTGAAGTCTTTTTTCAATATTTGAGATCTATGTATTATGATTATTATAGTATGTTTTATGACCTCCTGTTTTAACGAAGTTTATATTTGCATATATTTACTTTTTTCTGTATAGATTGAATTAGTTGAATGACTATAAAAAAAAGACATCTCGCTTTATCCCGTTCTCAATGAATAGACATCATTCCTCTTCTCCTGCAGTAACACCGCCCTCTTGTGTCTGAAAGCTGCAACTGCAGTATTTTATACAAAAGAATCTCACAATAATACACAACTCTAAATGTTTTTAACAGAGGGATTTTATTACAAATGGGGGAATCTCATAACACGGGAAGCAGGTTGTCTGTAATTAAATAGCATCCATACTAAATGCTGGGAAACATACCGTGGATGAAAAAAGCGTCGTATTGTTATTTACAGTCTGTTAATGTAGGAGGCTTCAGCGGCCCCCCCCCCTCCAGGCTGCTGCTCCTCTCTTCTTCATGCTTCCTCCTCCATCCCCTCCTCCTCCTCCTCCTCCTCTTCCTCTTCCTACTCCTCCACCTCTTCCTCTTCCTCCTCCTCCATCCCCTCCTCTCCCTCCTCTCACTTTCTTCCTCACTCCACTGGCTTGTTCTGTGTCGTCGTTGTCTGGGTCTCCTCCTCTCGGCCGTTTCCTTTTCTCGCCTTGCTCCTTCATTTCCTGAGGAAGACCAGATTCATTTTTGGTTTTTTAATTATTATTGTTTGGTGGATTTCTTTCTGTATACAAATGCATGTATGTACTTACAAATAAACACACTTTTTCAAATTACAATAAAGATCTAACGTGCATATTTTATTAAAGTGGTTCCCAGAAAAAAAACATCAAAATCTAATTAATTCAGAAACATCAACATCTTATTGAGAGATTAATCAAAACTGGAAATATGTTTTTGTTGCATTCCTAGTACCAAGACAATTTCCAAAAATGTTAGGAATTTGATACCACAGGAAGAAACACTACAATACATTATATGTACTTACAAATAAACCCACTTACAATACGATTGCATTATATCTTTTTAAAAGTGGTACCACCCTCACAACAAAAATCAAAAACTAATTGATTAATCGAGAAAATAATTGAAGGATTAATCAACACTGAAAATAATGTTTAGTTGCAGCCCGAGTACAAAACATCCCATATACCAGAGGGCGTAGAAGTACTCAGATCGTGTACTTGAGTAAAAGTAGAAGTACTCAGATCTTGGACTTGAGTAAAAGTAGAAGTACTCAGATCTTGTACTTGAGTAAAAGTAGAATTACTCAGATCTTGTACTTGAGTAAAAGTAGAAGTACTCAGATCTTGTACTTGAGTAAAAGTAGAAGTACCAGAGTGTAGGAATACTCTGTTACAGTAAAAGTCCTGCATTCAAAATGTTCCTCAAGTAAAAGTAGAAAAGTATTATCATCAAAATATAGTTAAAGTAGCGACAGTAAAAGTAGTCATTGTGCAGATTGGTCCATTTCAGAATAATATATATGATATGTTTTATAATGATTGATCATGAAAGTGTTCTCAAAGCTGGTAAAGGTGCAGCTAGTTTGAATGACTTTGTGTTTGAAGTGATTTCTGAGAGAGGACTCACCAGCCGGGCGAACCTCTGGGCCTCGCTGACCCGCTCCACCAGCATCATCACCTCGTCCTCCTGCGTCGGGAACGGCGGGAGCTTCTTCGCTATCAGGGTCTCGATCCGCTGGAAAAGCTCCACGTCGTATCTAAGATAACAGAACAGTCACTTTAATGCAGTCACTTTAGGTAAGGTATTTATAAAGCACATTTTCAGACACAGAGGCAATTCAAAGTGATTTACATCATCATTAACATTTAATAAGAAGACAACAGAAAAGAACACAATAAATAAACACAATGGAATAACAGATTAATAAAAACCATGCATAAAAGAGATGCAGAATAGTTTCAAAACAGCATTGTAAATACAGTAGGTGCTAAAACAAGTTAAAAGGCTTCTGGGTAAGCAGAAGAAAAAAGTAGTGTTTTTTTTTCCTCTAACTCAGCGTTGGTGAAGACTTCAGGTTTTCTGGAAGTTTGTTCCCTTTGTGGGGAGCATAAAAACTAACAGCAGTTTCTTTACCATTATATTAATACAGGAGCCATCTTTAGCCTTAACACGCGATACTGTAACAAAACACAACTAATTCAAAGTTCCTCACTGAGTGACGAAGGTGATGGATTTCCCGGAGCGCCCGGCTCTGGCTGTCCGTCCCACTCTGTGGATGTAGTCCTGAGGAGACACACAGCCATTGATATTAAGGGCAAGGCAAGTTTATTCATATAGCCCCTTTCAACACAAGGCAACTCAAAGTGCTTTACAAAGATGATAGACATTAAGAAAATGGCATTTAAAAGCAGTCATTAAAATGGAAAGATAATAAAATAAACATTAAAAGAAAAATGACATGAATAAAAGTTACAGTGCAGTGTGAGATATGAATAGTTCAATTAAAAGCAGCGGCAAATAAATGTCTTCATCCTGGATTTAAAAGTAGTCAGAGTTTCAGCAGAGCGGCAGCTTTCTGGGAGTTTGTTCCAGATATTTGGAGCAGAATAACTGAACGCTGCTTCTCCCCTAAAAGGTCCCCTATTATACTGTTCTTAATCAATATATCACAGGTCTCAGATATATACAGAACCTGTCTCTGATTGGCTGAAACACCAAACAGATCATTGCAGCATCCCATAATCCCCTCTGTTTCAGCCCTGTTTCCAAAGTGCTGATTCTCTGTCTGTTACTTTAGATGAAAATAAGGAGCCCCTCCCCACGCCCCTCTGAGAGAGATTTGGTTACAAAGAACACAATGGTGCTCTAGGAGGAGATCCAGGTGATAAGGTGGGGGGGGGGTTACCTTGGTTGCTGATTGGCTAATGGTTACACAAGACAAAACATCGTTATGACATCATAAAGTGGCCAAAATCTGTTCAGCTCATTTTCAGACAGGTTTTTATAGAAATGGATCAGGACAAAAAGAGAGAGAATCTTTGTTCCTGAAACTTTCAGAGTCTCTTTACACAGAGGGGACACATGTTGATGTAGAAGAGACATGAAGAAGAGGGGACACATGGTGATGTAGAAGAGACATGAAGAAGAGGGGACACATGTTGATGTAGAAGAGACGTGAAGAAGAGGGGACACATGGTGATGTAGAAGAGACATGAAGAAGAGGGGACACATGTTGATGTAGAAGAGACATGAAGAAGAGGGGACACATGTTGATGAAGAAGAGACATGAAGAAGAGGGGACACATGTTGATGTAGAAGAGACATGAAGAAGAGGGGACACATGTTGATGTAGAAGAGACATGAAGAAGAGGGGACACATGTTGATGAAGAAGAGACATGAAGAAGAGGGGACACATGTTGATGAAGAAGAGACGTGAAGAAGAGGGGACACATGTTGATGTAGAAGAGACATGAAGAAGAGGGGACACATGTTGATGTAGAAGAGACATGAAGAAGAGGGGACACATGTTGATGTAGAAGAGACATGAAGAAGAGGGGACACATGTTGATGTAGAAGAGACATGAAGAAGAGGGGACACATGTTGATGTAGAAGAGACATGAAGAAGAGGGGACACATGTTGATGTAGAAGAGACATGAAGAAGAG